ATTCACAAGAAAACAATTAATCATTTCATTGACCAATGATTAGGGCATCAAAAGTATATAATAATAATAAAATATCTTAAAGTCAAATAAGAACAACATTTCATACATAATAATCATATAAATAAAAACATTTCATTCATAAAAACTAATTATTAAACCCAAAGGGCTTTGTTTTGCTCTTCTTCTACACATGTCTTCACTTGAGTTCCCATATATGAGAGGTTAGAGCCGGGGATCACAACTGCAGTCAAGTATTAGACACAACTCATGAGTACATCTATGAATGGCATAACATCTCAAGACATACCGTTAATCAGGTGTTTGTATTCGCTTTCAATTTTGAGAGAGTGTTCGAACATCTCTTTGGCTGCTTTTGTGGTCAACTTCTCATTGGGATAGCGATGGTCTTTGATCTCCCTGTCCATCACACATACAATATACAGATATTTACTAAACGTATTCAATACTCAAATGCAATTCAAGACATACTTTATCTGTTTAGTCGACTTGAACTTCAAATAGACGACAACCGGATATATTTGACATTTGATGAGTCGCTCCACTGATGTGGGACTCACTTCGAGCAGTGCGTGAAGATTCTGGACATCAATCAACAAAACAATTCAAATGTCGTATTGAAATGATTCACTCAATGAACACAAACCTTATCACAAATTTCTCTGACGGCCGCGACTGTAATGCACTCAAAGTGCGAGCCCTGAGAGCCCCTGTAATCACGCCTGTAGTCGACTAACTTGAGGTCCTGAAGCCAGCGCTCCATCATCTGCTGCGAGCCCTTCATAATCTCAGGAACGCACCGCTTGAACGTCGTCTGGAAGTCCTGTTCCAGTTTGATGGACAGCACCTCTTGGAGGGGACCGATCACTATCACAGGACGGGTGGTCTTATAGCTAAGTCTCTCAACGCGTATATAAGTGGTGGGCAGGAGTTGGTAGTTGTAGTCGGTTTCGGCAGTTATAGCGCCCGATTCGCTGAAGCTGTTGATGGAGACGTCCGAAAAACTGGCCAACTCTTTGGTGCTCTCCCGGGAACTGCTTCTCTGGTGATTGCTTTTGCGGCGCCGGAAGAAACTCCTTCGCGCAGACGTCGTACTCCGGGAACCGCTTTCGCCGGTACTGTCCGTAAGGGAGCGCTTCATGAGGAGCTCCTCTTCCACTTTGTATTTGCTGGGAATGACTCCACACTTCACTTTCTGTCCTTCTTGGTCGACGAGCCACGCCCTCCACAGTCCCGGCACTCCGTTAAACATAGTGTTGTCCACAAACAGGATGTCGTCCTTTCGGAAGGCGAGTGAGCCGTCGACTGACGGCCTATCGAAGGCGGCTCTGATGAAGAATGAGTCGCCCGTGTGCTGGTCCTGGATCTCTTTGAACCCTTCAGACAAATCAATGGTTGAGTACAACGCAATCACTCCCACACCACACCATAACTTACTGTCCATATTGTATTGAGCGACGAGAGTGATGGTGTCGGCGGGTTTGGCCAACTCGATGGCCGCCTCCTCTGCCGTTGCGTTTCGAAGATCGACGCCATTGTACTGTTCAACACAAACACAAACGAGTCATACAATGAGACAAACAAACAAATCACAGATAATACAAACCTCTAGAATCTGATCCCCGGGTTTAAGGCCATTGGAACCGCTGGAGAGGGCGTCGTCGCGCACAGAATGGATGAAAATGCCGACAGCGTTGCCGCCAAACAAACTGATGCCCAGATTAGAGGGCTTTTTGACGAGAATACGTCGGGGATCGCAAACATTTGACGACTGCTTGAACGACGACTGTCTCTCTCGTATAGAATAGTCGGTCAGAGTTTTCTCGGTATTACGGCTCGCGTTTGAGGCGCTTCTGGAGGCGGCCTTAGATCGGGTGAGCGTTGAATTGGCTGAACTCGGAATGTTTGGGTCGTTGGCCGTCGCGTTAGCCCTCACTAAGTGCTGTTTGCTTTCGATGGGCGACGACTGGGGAGTGGAGGTCGACGTCGAGTCGTTGGCGGGCGTGTCGTCCGCGTCCTCGTCCTCCATGTCGTCGTCCTCTTCAACGTCGGCGTCATCCGAGTCGTTGTCTTCGGTGTATTTGTCGGGATTGTACTGAACTATCATAAAGATGCTGTTCCCGCACTGTCTGAGCACAGAGGCGGCCGTGTCATAGCTCGTACAGCTCCTCATATTGATGCCGCAGATCTCGAGCAACTGGTCGCCCACTAAGAGGCCCGCCTGAGCGGCCAAACTGTTTTCAGTCACATTACACACGAACACTCCGCCCAAAGTCGACGGCGAGATGTTTATACCCATCGAAGGCGCAGAACTTCGTTCGATAGAAATGTTTCGGACATCGCCTGAGAGGGAAAGGCATTCATATATCGCTCATCAGTTTCAGAGTCTAACCAATAGGAGTCGGCGTATAATTACCGGGTTTTGCGACGCGTTTGGCGCCATTCGTGGAGCCAGTGATGGGGTCAGTGACCCACTCGACGTGATAGCCGCACGGCATAGGACTCCCCCGGTCTGACAGTATGGACGACGAGGCCTTCTCTATAGAACTGGTCGATAGCTTCCCAGTCGACGACTTAGAGGTGACGCTCTGGTTGGACGGGATTCGGAAGCGTTGGTTGCGTTTGGGAAATGTCGACAAACCGTCAAACGAAGGAATTCCCAGATTGTTGTCATCGCTTCGGTAGACTCCGGTGTTGTTAATACTCGAGTGGTGTAAATGGCTGGCGTGGGTGTGCTGGGGGGCCACCAGGCGTTTCGGCTAACAAATCGATTCATTTCAATTGAATGACACAAATCTTATACTGTACTTAAAAATTATAGACTTAGAGGTAGAGTCAAAAGTATGAGTTCATTGTCGCTTCTTATAATACAATGCATTCACAGCTATGAAGATATTCAAGAGTAATGTTATGCTTGTGGACAGACATCAAAGACTGCTCTCATTTTAGTGATTAGTAAAACAAAAAACTCTGGAGAGATCTCCTCTCATCGCATAATTACTGAATAAATAAATCATTAAAACACTGTTTGAGACGTCGTTTTACGAGTTTACAAACTTATCATAACTTTTACGCAATGACTGGTGTGTAGAGTAAACCTAATTCGTGGGTCAATGAGTCTACGGTACACTACACGGTTGTCTCACATTATGAGGCAACACATTGCCATAATTAGTGATATTTATATTTTACAAACATTTCTACAGTAATTGACTTTTAGAGTTAATTCCGAATCTCATAATTACTTGGAAAATGTATTGTGAAATGACTAAAATAGGTGCCATTCGTTGCAATGATAAGTCAATGTAAGAGTAAAAGTAAAGTTTCATTGAAATAGAAATGACTTATCGATCATCAGATAAATGAGCGGAAATGTGGCGAAACTGTTATGAATACCTGATTTATGGTATGAAAGTGAGCGCCTGAGGGGACAGTTGTGATTATATCCATACTATGGGAGGGCGAGGGACCACCAAACAGACCGCCGCTGTATTGTGAGGGCGATGGCGATGGAGTAATACTATATCTATTGACCAGATTGTCTTTGACAGTATACGGCCGAACCCCGCCCTGGTATGCGCTCACAGACCTCGAGTGCGATAAGTCGTGTGAATGCATTTGGCTTTCATTAGCGCTGAGAAGTGAGTCGCCGCTCCGGGAGATGAAACCCGAGATAAGACTTTGAGGGCTCGTCGAGTGGCGGACAGGTGGCTGACCCACTCCTCTCGTCATGTGTTGATTCGCAGAGTAATGGTTGTGATGGATGTGAAGGCCTGATGTGGACGGCGGGTGCGATATGTTGTTCAGCGCATAGTATGCATAGGAAGAGGGGTTTCTAATGGGGGGTATTGGGGCTGAGTTGGGGGGCGGGGATGAGGCACTGGGCGCTTGAAACGAGTCGTACGACGAATGGTCGGCAGTCATGGCTAATGTCTTGGAAGTGAGCGGTTGTGTGACATCTGTAAGCACGTCGTGCACTGAATGCGGTCTCATTTGCTTAGCATTCGTGCGGTTCTTATAGTAATCCAAAACATTCTTGTCTTTCGATTGCGCGGATACTACAGAGTAATCGAGTGATGAGTTGGTTGTGATTGCTTTGAGCGGGTGATAGATCTTGCGGTCGAGTGTTTCCAACTTATTGCCATTAAATGATTGNCCACTCGACGTGATAGCCGCACGGCATAGGACTCCCCCGGTCTGACAGTATGGACGACGAGGCCTTCTCTATAGAACTGGTCGATAGCTTCCCAGTCGACGACTTAGAGGTGACGCTCTGGTTGGACGGAATTCGGAAGCGTTGGTTGCGTTTGGGAAATGTCGACAAACCGTCGAACGAAGGAATTCCCAGATTGTTATCATCGCTTCGGTAGACTCCGGTGTTGTTAATACTCGAGTGGTGTAAATGGCTGGCGTGGGTGTGCTGGGGGGCCACCAGGCGTTTCGGCTAACAAATCGATTCATTTCAATTGAATGACACAAATCTTATACTGTACTTATAAATTATAGACTTAGAGGTAGAGTCAAAAGTATGAGTTCCTTATATAATACAATGCATTCACAGCTATGAAGATATTCAAGAGTAATGTTATGCTTGTGGACAGACATCAAAGACTGCTCTCATTTGAGTGATTAGTAAAACAAAAAACTCTGGAGAGATCTCCTCTCATCGCATAATTACTGAATAAATAAATCATTAAAACACTGTTTGAGACGTCGTTTTACGAGTTTACAAACTTATCATAACTTTTACGTACTCGACGTGATAGCCGCACGGCATAGGACTCCCCCGGTCTGACAGTATGGACGACGAGGCCTTCTCTATAGAACTGGTCGATAGCTTCCCAGTCGACGACTTAGAGGTGACGCTCTGGTTGGACGGGATTCGGAAGCGTTGGTTGCGTTTGGGAAATGTCGACAAACCGTCAAACGAAGGAATTCCCAGATTGTTGTCATCGCTTCGGTAGACTCCGGTGTTGTTAATACTCGAGTGGTGCAAATGGCTGGCGTGGGTGTGCTGGGGGGCCACCAGGCGTTTCGGCTAACAAATCGATTCATTTCAATTGAATGACACAAATCTTATACTGTACTTAAAAATTATAGACTTAGAGGTAGAGTCAAAAGTATGAGTTCATTGTCGCTTCTTATAATACAATGCATTCACAGCTATGAAGATATTCAAGAGTAATGTTATGCTTGTGGACAGACATCAAAGACTGCTCTCATTTTAGTGATTAGTAAAACAAAAAACTCTGGAGAGATCTCCTCTCATCGCATAATTACTGAATAAATAAATCATTAAAACACTGTTTGAGACGTCGTTTTACGAGTTTACAAACTTATCATAACTTTTACGCAATGACTGGTGTGTAGAGTAAACCTAATTCGTGGGTCAATGAGTCTACGGTACACTACACGGTTGTCTCACATTATGAGGCAACACTTTGCCATAATTAGTGATATTTATATTTTACAAACATTTCTACAGTAATTGACTTTTAGAGTTAATTGCAAATCTCATAATTACTTGGAAAATGTATTGTGAAATGACTAAAATAGGTGCCATTCGTTGCAATGATAAGTGAGTGTAAGAGTAAAAGTAAAGTTTCATTGAAATAGAAATGACTTATCGATCATCAGATAAATGAGCGGAAATGTGGCGAAACTGTTATGAATACCTGATTTATGGTATGAAAGTGAGCGCCTGAGGGGACAGTTGTGATTATATCCATACTATGGGAGGGCGAGGGACCACCAAACAGACCGCCGCTGTATTGTGAGGGCGATGGCGATGGAGTAATACTATATCTATTGACCAGATTGTCTTTGACAGTATACGGCCGAACCCCGCCCTGGTATGCGCTCACAGACCTCGAGTGCGATAAGTCGTGTGAATGCATTTGGCTTTCATTAGCGCTGAGAAGTGAGTCGCCGCTCCGGGAGATGAAACCCGAGATAAGACTTTGAGGGCTCGTCGAGTGGCGGACAGGTGGCTGACCCACTCCTCTCGTCATGTGTTGATTCGCAGAGTAATGGTTGTGATGGATGTGAAGGCCTGATGTGGACGGCGGGTGCGATATGTTGTTCAGCGCATAGTATGCATAGGAAGAGGGGTTTCTAATGGGGGGTATTGGGGCTGAGTTGGGGGGCGGGGATGAGGCACTGGGCGCTTGAAACGAGTCGTACGACGAATGGTCGGCAGTCATGGCTAATGTCTTGGAAGTGAGCGGTTGTGTGACATCTGTGAGCACGTCGTGCACTGAATGCGGTCTCATTTGCTTAGCATTCGTGCGGTTCTTATAGTAATCCAAAACATTCTTGTCTTTCGATTGCGCGGACACTACAGAGTAATCGAGTGATGAGTTCGTTGTGATTGCTTTGAGCGGGTGATAGATCTTGCGGTCGAGTGTTTCCAACTTATTGCCATTAAATGATTGTCCGTTTGATGAATAGATTGGCTTTTGAGTGGCGAACGATTGGAGAGTTGGCGGACGGGAAGAGTGAGTGGAGTTTCGCTTTGAGTTGCGCTCGTAGTCTATGAGGGCTGCCTCTGAGGCCGGTTCGAAGATCAGGAAACTCGAGGGAGTCATCGATTCCTCTTTAATACTGGTATTCGAAGATTCGGGCGCTTCGGAAGTCGTTGTCGGCGATTGTGTCATAGCTTTACACAGAAAATACAGATTAAAACAAAGCAAACAATTTGTGACAAACAAGTCATACCCGAAGAGTTTTTGTCAGATTTGGTGAATATATTGGTGAAAATGCCTAAAGACTTGCGTTCTTTGCGTTTGATTGGGTGTAATGTCATGACTGCGTTCACGTTGCCGTAGTTTTGTAGTGAAGGGACGGGTGGGTGCCCCCTATACTTAGGCCACGTGCCACCATTCTTCTCCTTCTTTGAACTTTTGCCAGACTTTACATACTTTGCGTTCTTCTCGTATGTCTTTCCATTGGAATACTTGTCCAACACTTTGTCCAATTCGGCCAAAGTCTTGGTCTCGTCTTCGGCGTGATTTTGTTGTTTAGTCTTGGAGTTAGGTTTGCGTTCGCCGTATATCTTATTGTAGGCCTTATCGAGGAGTGTCGGCGCCGTTGTCACAGTTGGCTTCGACTCGTGTGCGACTGACGCGGAAGTGTATGGATTGGTGAACGAAGACATCATACTTTTATTAGTGGAACCCATGACTGAATTCATTTCGTCATTCGTTCGGCTATTCAACGGCTGGTAAATGGAAGGCACTGTAGGTCTGGGTGTGGGTTGAGCTAAGAAGCTGTCCGTCTGTGAGCAGACGTTTTTTCGTTGTCTTTCTCTATGATTAGAGTTCTTGGAGTCCGTCGACTCTGAGCTGCTTTTGGAAGTGTTAACAATGGATGAGCTGCTGTTGGATTGGGAGCCAACGCTGAGATTGTTTTTCATGATTTGCAACACAATATTAGGCGTCCGCTCCAGGATTTGCATCACTTCGTAGACGGAGTTCTCGTCGAGTGTCTTATCATTGATAGACAGGACTCGATCCCCGATCGCTATATTACCCTCTTTTGCCGCAACAGATCCGGCATTAATACGACTCACGTAGTAACCACTCTCTAACTCGAGACCCAACTCCTGGCCCTTATCCACACTAATCGTAATATTTTGTACACAACGAGTCACTCGTTTTCGTTGAACAGTCAACACTATCTGCAAGTCATTCTTCTTAAGCAAATCTGTGGCCACTTTCAGCTCATTATTAACGAGCGTTTCGTTTATTTTCATCAACACATCATTCGTGAGAAGCTTTCCGTCGGCGACACTATCTTTCATCACTTTATCCACACGAAGAACATTGTCGTCGGACTTCAAACTGAACCCCCATTCATAGGACTTAAGTTCGCGTTTCAACGACACGTTTATGGTCTCGATTTCGTACTCCTGAAGGTCTGCTTCGATGGCCGAGTCTCGGCTGCTATTATTGGTTCCCAACTGCGAGTTGTGCTGAGACTTAGGCCTCGAATCGCGATCCAGTTTCAAGCCGTCGATCTTCTCCTTCAATTCCTTCAACTCTTTTGTCGTCTCATTCTTCTGGCGCTTAATATCGTCCGACTCTCGCAGGGCTTCCGCCAAATCACTGACCGCTCGATCTCTTTCTCGCCGCAGTTTATCGCATAGGGTTCTGACAAACAAATCACACGTCAATGCAATGGAAAGGGAGGTTAGAGATAGAGTGACAATACCTAATGCTTTCCCTTTCGAGCACTATTTTGTCCCTTTCATTGAAAGCCCAGTCGCGCCGCCGTTTGCAGACCTCCACCTCCTGTTGAGCTTCCGCGAGATCCGTCTGTAGGCGTTCCACTTGTTTGCGGAGTGACTCGATCTCGCAGTTAGCCTGGTCTATGTTGTCCAGACGCCCGTTACTGCACTGCTTGTGCTGCGGGTGACTGAACGTGGAGACCGAGCTGTTACTGGAGGCCGCGGACAACACCACATTCGGGTTCTTCGACATCACCCACGAGGTCGACACTCCCGACGACGACGAGCCCCAGAAGTTGTGTCCCGACTTGGATTGCGGTGATGTGGGACTGGTAGCTGTGGCGCTGTCGTCATTGCCGGTCACGTAATCGCCGTACTTCTCGCGCAAATCGTTGCACGCCTTCAGCACCCGATCCCTATCGAACAGTGCCGACGATATCTCGCGCTTCAGACTCTCCATCTCTTCGGTGGACGTCTTCCTCTCGGCCTCGAGTTGTTTAGTCTTGCGTTGGAGGACCTGCTGTTCCTCTTGGAGTTTCTCGATCTCTCTGTGAACGGTATCCCTTTCAGACATTATCAGAGAGTACTCCTGAAGGGCGGCGTTCCGCTCTTCGGTCAGTCGCGCCATGTCTTTGATGGCTTTGATCCGCACAGCCATCGCCTGATTGATCTCTTTCATGGCCTCATCCCTCTGGTGCTGAACTTTGGTCAGCTGTTCCTTAAGCTCATTGATCTCTCGCAGGGCTTTGTCCCACTGTCTGATGGCTTGAGTGCACTGCTGTTTGAGTCCATTCCTCTCAATGATAGCGATGTTCTTCTCCTGAATCGATTCCTCGAAGTTCTTGCGGTGTCTGAAGCTCTCCTCCTGAGCGGACTCCAGTTTGGAGACATAGTCGCCATGAGATGCCACCAAATCGGAGTACCGGTTGCGGAGGGAGTCGTGCTCCTCCTTCAGCGTCTCATACTTGCGGAACAGTGTCTGGTAATGTCTTTTGATGGTCTCATTGCCCGTCACGGAGTAGGGGTGAGTGTCGTTGTGGTCGGCGGTGGCCATCGCAGACACTCGCCGTCCATCCGGCGGTTCCGCGACTGGGATCAAGTGGTGGTGCGTCGTGTGGTCGAGGGGGTGGCCAACGGGTGATCCCGAGTGGTGAGTGCGGTGGCGATGATCACGGGATGATCACTGGATGTCTGCAGCACTGGTGGCAACAAATGGCGTTCAAAATAATATGAGTAATACTTTGGGAGGAGTTATGCCTTCATATGACTGACACACACAACACACACATCACTGCATTTGGTCCCATATCTGACCATCAATTACGTGA